ATTCTCGAGGTGGTATTGCTTTAATGTTCTGCATCATTTGTAATAGACGGCTTGCGAAGTGAGTAGAATCCCCGTGCGTTGTAGGTTCATAGTTGACTAGTTGGCCGGGTAACGTTAGAGTTGTGCCATAGACTAACTCGGCGGCTGTACATCCAATGTCTTCCTTTATAGTTGAACGAATACCAAGGAGTACAAGCGGTAAGGCATCGCTCCACTTTGATGAGTCAGCTTGCGCCATCAGTGAGCTTTTTAATTGGCGATGGAATCTTTCAACCATGCCACTAGCTGCTGGGTGGTAAGCTGTGGTTTTAATATGGTTGACCCCTAGAAGTTTAGTAAACTCCTGGAAAAGGACAGATTGAAATTGGGGACCACGATCGGTAGTGACGATAGAGGGTACACCGTAATTTGCTACCCAACGGTCAAGGAATACACTGGCTACTGTTTCTGCGGAAGTATCCGCAATAGGGCATGCTATGGCCCATCTTGTGAACCGGTCCACTGCAGTGAGAATATGAGTGAATGAATTAGATGATGGCAATGGACCAACTATGTCTAAGTGGATATGCTGAAAACGTTTTTCCGGCAGGGGATACTTGCCAACTGGACTGATCGTGTGTTTCTGAATCTTGCTGCGTTGACATTGTAGGCAGCTTCGCGTCCATCGTCTTATATCTGAATTGATTTTTGGCCACACAAAACGCTCAGTAATCAATTTGATTGTGGCTCTGATTCCTGGATGAGAAAGGTCATGCAGTTGACGAAATACTTGTCGACGACATGCTAGAGGTACGAAAGGGCGATTGTTACCCGTTGAAACATCGCAAATGATAGATGTATTTGAGAAAGGAATGGGTACTGGTTTAAGGTTCAAGTTAGACTTCTCCTGGCAGACCTTCAAATCTGCATCGTCTACTTGTAGTTTTGCGATGGTTTCTAAATCGATGTCTTGTTTACGTAACAGGGTATTTACGTCCTTACGTGACAATGCGTCAGCGACGACGTTGGTGTGTCCTTTGACAAATTGGATATCTGTCGTAAACTGGGAGATGTAATCCAGTTGTCGTGCTTCACGAGGTGAATGTCGGTCGTACGATGTGTGGAATGAGTAACATAAAGGTTTGTGATCGGTCATGATGGTAAAAGTTCGTCCTTGTAGTAAAAAGTTGAAGTGTTTAACGGCTAAGTAGATAGCAAGTAACTCCCGTCCAAAGGTACTGTAGCGTTCCTGGGCTGGTGACAATCTTTTGGAGGAAAACGATATGGGAGTAATCATATTGTTTACCTGTTGTTGTAATACTGCCCCGACTGCTTTTTGAGATGCATCGGTACACAGAATTAAGTGTGTTGTGGGGTCAGTATTTAGATATTGTAGCATGGTGGCATTAGCTATCATCGACTTTGCTTTTTCAAACGCTGTTTTGGCGTCAGGGGGTAGGTTGAATGTCTGACTCTTCTCTTTCTTCGTACCTTTTTTGTCGGTTTTCAGCAGATCGGTTAATGGCTGCAATACTTCAGCACAATGTGGTAAGAAACGGCGATAAAAATTACACATACCGAGGAAGCGTCGTAATGACTTCAACGAGGTTGGTTCGGGATAATTGGTAATAGCTCCAACCTTCTCTGGAAGTGGTTTGATGCCTTGAGAGTCAATGTAATGTCCTAAAAACTCTAAGGCTGGGACTGCGAATATGCATTTCGAAGGATTGATGACGACGCCGTGTTTCTTAAAACGATCAAAAAGGGTCTGGACATGTTGGATATGCTCTTCTAAAGATGAGCTTGCAATGAGAACATCGTCGATGTAGGCAAAAACGAAGTCTAAACCTCTTGTCACATCATCCATGAATCGTTGGAATGTCTGCGCAGCGTTTTTCAATCCGAATGGCATCCTTAGAAACTCAAACAAACCAAAAGGTGTTATTATGGCTGTTTTCTCAATGTCTTCCGGTGCCATTGGAATTTGATGGTATGCACGCACGAGGTCGAGTTTCGAGAAGATGCATTTACCATGTAAATTTAACGCGAAGTCATGTATATGTGGAATAGGATACCTATCCGGGATGGTTTGGTTGTTTAATCGTCGGTAGTCACCACACGGACGCCAATCTTGGTCTTTCTTAGGTACCATGTGTAACGGCGAGGCCCAGGGGCTGTTGGATGGTCTGATAATACCAAGTTGCATCATGTGTTCGAATTCTCTTTTCGCTACTTGCAACTTGCTTGGTGGTAATCTCCTCGCCCTGGCGCTAATAGGTGGTCCGGTGGTAGTGATATGGTGTTGTACCAGCCGTGGGTTACCTTCCTTTTGGTAATCTGATCTCATAATGCACTGGTATTCTGTTAGAATGTCGTTGAAGATATTGTTCACAGGTTTCATTATACGAACACCATGGATCTCGTTGTCGTTGGAGAGTGTACAGTTCACCTGTAAACGTGTGTTTATGTCGACTAATCTCTTGTTAGTCATATCAACCAAAAGGTTGTACGCACTAAGAAAATCGGCTCCGAGAATGGGTCGTTTGACTTCAGCAACTATGAATACCCATGTGAATCTTCTACGGAGCCCGAGATCTAATATAAGAGATTGTTCTCCATAAGTTTTGATAACTGATTCGTTAGCCGCTACCAAGGACAATTTAGTGCTTATCGTATGTTGTCTGCGTGAGAGATAAAGTGGGATGATGCTGATTTCTGCTCCCGTATCGACTAAAAAATCTGAGCCAGAAATACGATCCCTGATGTGGAAAAGGCGGCTGACATGTTGGCCAGTAACATCTGCCGCTACTACTGTCTGGCCACTTCGTTTCCCTGGTGGTCTGACTTGCTTGTCGTGAAGTTGCACGGTTTTGTGCAACAACGTGCTTTCTCGCCATAATTCGAATGATACCAACACATCCCAGCTGCCCGCTTAGGTGACCTATGACGATGTCTGGATAATGATCTCTTTCTGGACCTAGATCTGGGGCATCGAGAACGGATGGTGGAGATAGTCGCCTGCAGTGATGCTAGCTGACGTGTTAAGTGTGCCATTTGATGCTGCATGTCAAGAGTAGGGTTTGTAGCATCTCTACTAGCGGGTTGTACAGCGTTAATTCCCCGACTATCGGGATATATTTCTATCATCCTATCGGCCATGTCTGCTAAATCATCAAGACTGACAGAGGCTCCTGATACGCTGAGAATTTGTCTGACGCAATAAGGTAACCTTTGTAACCACATCTGCTTAAGTAATGCTTCGTCTAACTTGCATGAACCTGCTAGTTGTCTCATATGTCTAAGCAACTGTGAAGGTCTTTTGTCCCCTAACTCGCATGCGGTGAGTAGTTGCTGTAAGCGTTTTTCATCAGACTGCGAAGTACGGTGGATTACTGCGGCTTTTATTTTGTCATAGGGGTCTGTTTCTGGTACGTTATCTATCAGGTCTCCGACTTCTGCTGCCACTTCTATGGGTAATGCTCCAACAATGTATGCATATTTTGTCGCTTGCGAGCGTATACCTCTCGACAAAAATAATGCCTCAACCTGTGCAAACCAGATCCTGGGATTATTAACACCGTACGTTGGTAATCTTAGTTCCGAGATAGCGTTGATTGAGTTTAAAACATTATCCTCTGGTTGTGGAGAGTTTAGAAGGTTGGTCGGAGAACTATCAATATCAATAAGTTTACCCGGAGAGTTCATAATGACAAAAACAAAAATATGGTGTCGTGCCGAATAATAATAAAAAAATTATGTAGATATATATAGTAAATGTCTATAAAAAAATAATCGAGGCTCACCAAATAATTGTGGTGGACCAGACAAATATGAACGCAAAAATTATAAACAAAGTTACTAAAGATCAATAGTAATATTAATATATACAGTTAATTGTTACAAATACAATTAAAATTAGGGACGTTACTTAAATTGACCAAACGCTGCGTGTTCTGATTAGGTCCGGTAATGTAAATCCACAATTATAAATGTTTGATAATTCCAAACAGGTTGGCGAACTCTCTGGTGATATAATCCCACGTAGAATGTGACGTATTCCAATTACAGTCTATAAATAATGATAATATTTGATTTAGAATTTAGCTAATTCAATCACAAATGAAAATAGAACGAGGGATGTGTGAGTAGTAATGTATTTGTTAGCCAGTAAGTATATGTCACGCTATGTTCGAATTACAGCGGAAAAAGAGTGTTCAAGGTCATTGACTAAAACAACACGTACAGTCATTTAATGATAAATGTACATACAGTGAAAAATTGACAAAACAAATAGAAATAACATTGAAAACTATTTACAAAATAAGCTTGTCAGTCGTATCTCCACACTAAGTATAATCTACACACAAGAAAAATATGCATGACTCTACTTAAATTGTCAGGAATTGGCGGGATCGAGTTGCTTTCGGGTTAGTGATGCACAATTATAAGTAGTTGATACTTTCAATCACGATTTTTATAGTTCGAGTTGTATATCCAGACAAATCATATTGTGAAAGTATCACTGTGATCTATAAACGTAGATAGCAAATACACTGGAGCTCTTTTATCATTACAGCAGGCAATTGAGAAGACGCATATGCGTGCATCAGTGTATTTGTGAGCGATAATCAGTGTGTTGTGCTATGAAGTATCAAAAAGAAATTGGAAAATCCAAGGTAATCCATTTTTAAACAACTACTTTACAGTCACTCATAGTGAATGTACCAATTATGAGAATTAATGAAAGGAGTGCAAATAGAAGCGAAAACTAGTTACAAAATGAATCTGTCCTAACTATCCTAATATATCCTTATTGACGAAACAAGCCTCATGAAAACACCTAGAAACACCATACACATACTCGAAAACCCTGGATTTAGATTTCACCCATGCATGAAGGTAATGTATTGTTACATTCAACCTTTGGTAGGCTTGCATACAGACTGAAATACATCGTATTCTAGGGAAGTGTTAAGGGTAGTAAGCGAGATTATCTGGAAGAGTTCAGAATAAGAGTAAAAGTGGGTGGATGACTGAGAAAGCAAATACTTTTAGTAGCAAAAACCATTAATAACAGTCAGAAATTATACAACTGTGAGATCCAGAGAACCTGATAATCGAAACGAAAGATCAATAGCACAGGATTTCGAACGTGTTACAGTGTTAGAATCCATATCAGCCGCCAAACAATGCAAGGCTTAGTCATTGTTGTATATATGAACCACGGTCCCCCCTGTCCTGGAGACATCGGCAAACCCTTATTATTAAAAACTGAAGTTGGCTGGACAGAAGCTTATTATATTTCATTCATAAACACTGGGAACAAAATGAGTCCTTGTTGTTTACTGGCATCACCTGAAGGTCGTGGGTAGGACCTTTGACGCTAATCTCAATAGTAATCACATGGTGAGTTTGTATAATACCATATGACCTATTGTTTAGCCTCAAAACGAGCATATTGAGCTTCATCGCAAACGCCATGGGTATCGCTTTGACTATTTTGAAAGAAAGTCAGTCTTTGTCTACCTGGTTTATCATGTTTCAGGCGGAAAAAAGAGGCTCGTGAACCTCATGAAAGAAGTCGTAAGGCCAAAAAGCTTCGAGGATTAAAGGCAAAAATTGCCAATAAAGAAAGGTTTAAAGAAAAAGTTCAAATGAAAAAGACGTGAGACTTTAAGCCGAAGTTTTAACCTTCCTAGTTTACGTATGCACGAGTTAAAAGGAAAAAACCAAAAAGTCGATGAAGCTGGGCGATCTGGAGAAGTACCTGCATATCTTTTAGATCGTGGTGAACAGATCTCTGCCAAAGTGTTATCCAACACAGTTAAGCAGAAAAAAGCTGAGAAAGCGGTAAGAATAATTAACTCCGTTCCATTATTTGCTACTCATTTTTAATCAATATAAACATATAGTTTATGACAAATGTCAAGGGTTTGCATTATTTTTGCAGCTTTCTAGTCCAAATATAACACTAGGCAGCCTCTGTTGTAAGTTCTATCACATCACATAGCTTGTACTTCGGTTACTTATAGTATTATCACATCATGTTTAGTTGAAATTACTGACGGACTGAACCGTATAGGTTGGAGATGAATAGGATGATTTGTAATCGATCATAATAACAGACGCACTTAATATTTGTTCTCCCTTATGTCGTCGGCCTTTTATTTAACTAATTAATTATTGAATCACTGTATGTACCTAGTCTTTACTTGAATCAATGTACATACGTATCAGGTCCTACTTTGTAACTGACCAACTGTGTGAATGAATATTTACTGTCAATGATATTTCTGCACAGTCTCATCTCTTTGTGTTGATGTAGTCCAGAAGCTTTGGTCGATCAACAAACCTCGCCAGGGGGCTTCGTGGTTAGGGTGTTCAACTTTCACCCACTAAGCCCCGGGTTCGAGCCCCGTCCGTTTATTTCGGTAGCATCATTTACTCTCGTAGCTGAAGTGTGGCCTGTAGACAAGTAATTGCAGGATGGATATATTCCGTAATAATTCAGTTTCATCAATATTTTGTTCTACTGGTTCGAAATCTACGGTAGATTTATTTTTAATATCTACCATCAAAAATTATTAAGCACTCCTAATGCTTTCGGCTGTGTAATGATTGTCTTGTTGATTTCATGATGCAAACTTATTTTCTGGTTATCACCATGCTATTATATTTAAATTACGCTGTATCCGGTCTGTTATTCATTACTAAAATTTATGTTTGAACATAGACATTAGTGCAAGGAGACACCAAATACATATGCGCCACTCAATAACAACGGATTTGTGAAGAGACGATGTAAAGTGTGTATAGTAAAAAAGAACAATGAACAGAAATCAGTTTTTCAGTAAAATAATAACACGTAGAAACGGTTCAGTTAAGAAAAAAAATCTGGAAAGAATTCTTTCAGTTTAAGAAGTTACGTTTACTTTCGTGATGAAGATAAAAGAAATTTACATCAGGATCAACACTGGCTTCTATTTTGAGCCACGTCTGGTAACGTCTCTAGCCACTATGTTGTACCATCTCTAGGACCCCAATCAAGGAGTCATAAAGGACCAACACATTTCGTCAGTTTTCTAGACTTAATTGTTTATTTATCTCATGTGTACAGCTGCGCTTTAGAAATATGTTTCAAACCTTATTTTGTCCTACCTGGCACATCACTTGACCTCACTGCTTCCGTGGAATGATCAAATATTTAGATTAAAATGATTCTCTTAACGAATAATGATAGGGGAATATCTTAATTTCTCAAATTTTTACTTCATTATTGACATCTTTTGAGTTGAATGAATGGTTAGAATATATATTTTTCACTTAAAATCTTGTGTTTAACAAATTTATTACTTACTGGATGCAGTTTTTTTCGAAGCTCGTAGTCCAGAACAAATGTTCCTTAGGCATAAAAAACTAAACATATGACTGATCTGTAGTTTTGATATTTTATGAGATGGCTGATACCCCATCGTCTTATCAAGTAGTTTATGTTAGACCACACCATTTTCGTTTCCTGTATTAAGTTCATCATTAAACGGTCTCTTTTCTGATGTACCTGTCTGCTGCTTAGAAGCACGTTGCCGAACCTCTGCATTACTAAAATGGTGTTACCACTGCATGTCAGCAATCCTTCGGAGACAGCGATGATCAAACACAGAGTCGTCCAATATCCTTAACTCTGAGAAGCCAGGTGTCACAAAAATAGAGCAAAGCTACTCTCACCAACGCGTTGTAGACCCCGACCTATTACAGTCAGGCTAACATCACAAAGGCGTCAAAATGTCTCAGATTGGCATAAACCGCTCTGGCTTCCACTATACGTGAGTTGACCTGATCTCACGTCATCACCAGCACTTAGGTAGCTACCTAGATACTGGAACTTCTCTACTGCTTCCATCTGTTCACTACCCAGGATGAGTGCGCGTTCAGGGTCCTACCAGTCTTGTAGAAGTACTTTAAACTTGAAAGGTGCCAAGCAAATGGCATACCTATAGACAGTTTGTCAACTGATTAAATGCAGATTGCATGTCATGGATATAGTCGCACAGTAAGACTATATCAACCGCACACCCAATGCCAGAACGTTAATAATCGTCACTTACAAATTGCACTACTGGTTAGTGCTACTACTAATTTTACACAGCTTTTTACTCCAATAACCAGAGGTGCCTTTTTGTCCTAGCTAATATACAATCTTTGGGACTTTGAAGTTTTCCATATAATATAGCTTTTAGTGTTTCAGCTGAGTTGTACTCATTTATAGCTGTGCTTAACTTTCTCTGTAAATAGTATCTAAGGATATTTCGATAGACATTTTATTCGATCTATCAAAATCAGACCTTTATTCAGTTTGTCATCGCATATGTTGCTGATCTTTTTGTTAGTCCTTTAACAGTGGATGGAATAAATAATTCATCAAATAGTCATTTTTTTCCTGATTTAGTTTCGCTTTGCTTAACTTACCACTAAGTACAACATTGTAAGATATATGAAGGTATTTACTGTGTAATAGAAAGTCTCTCACATTCAGTCTAAATTGTCTTAGTGAGTATAGGCTGCAGTAATTTCATGTTCTTAGTAATTAGAACGCCATGCTGTTATTTCATTTATCAGACAGAGCTTAGTTTCTGCCAAATACACTTTGTATATCAATTTACCCTCTTACATGACTTCATTTTCACGGTTGATGAACTGAGTCTCTGCACGTTGTTCTTGACTTTTCTGATATATAGAATGGATTGACCTGTCTCATTGATATCAAGTAGAAATAATGTCTGATATAATATATAAGCGTGGTTGGCGGCTTATGCTCCATTAGGAGTAACAGGCGTAAGTAAGTAATAATATATAAGAATTAGGTCTCAGAATCCAATCTTTTTCACTGGGGAGTAAGTGACCTACAAAACCGAAATCTCCCAGTCATGTAGGACATCCGATTACTTTCATTTTATGTTAGTTTTTTATATAAGCATGCTAACTTACTAGCTAAAAAGACTTCTGGCTAGTGGTCTTGTCTTCGGTAATAGTCCATTCGGGAGTTTCTCATGAATAGTTATCACTCGACCTCACTGTATCATTTCATTCATCCATTTTGTATCTCTAAACGCTCTTCGTCAGAAATAATCGGACTCCTTCTGCATGACATCGTTTATTCCTGGCTACATAAAAATCAACTGTTTCGTCCAGCTGGTGTATCTTCTGTTGAACATTTTAATACATGTGTTTATGCTTCCTAGATCCTTCAGTTCACCTTAAATATAAAATTTATGTAATTTCTGGCTGAATTCAAGTACTTATTCGAACAATCCTAATTCCGATAATAATTATAGGCAGTAAAAAGGTATAAGCTCAGAAGATTAATATTTTGTTTTCATGTCACTGATTAGTATATTTATGTCCACTTTCCCTAGTCACGCTCAAAATATGGCCTGTTTCAGTGGTCGTGCTAGAAAGAATATTTGTCTTGTTTTTGTATCACTCAACACTTTGATCTGTGATAGTTACATCTATCTGGATACATACTTTCTGTGTTTAAATTTCTCTTATAATCAGGGAAAATGGGAGGTGCCATTACCAAAAGTAAGAAGCGTATCTGAAGCAGAGGCATTTAAAGTTGTACGAACTGGAAAGTCTAAACGTAAAGCATGGAAGCGTTTGGTCACTAAAATGTGCTTTGTTGGCGATACATTCACAAGAAAACCTCCTAAATTTGAACGTTTTATTCGTCCAATGGGTTTACGTGTAAAGAAAGCAAACGTTACTCATCCAGAACTTAAAACTACTTTCCAGCTTCCTATAATTGGAGTGAAGAAAAATCCAAGTTCACCAATGTATACTACTTTAGGTGTAATAACTAAAGGTACAATTATTGAGGTATGTTCTTTCATTTGGTATTTATTCAATGGTTGGTTGTTATAATTCATTTCTGAGTGTACTTCTTACTAGTGATGAAGTCTGTGATTTACACTTCGATCATTCTGTTTCTCACTAGTTAATTGCGTTTACACCAAAACACATTTTAAATAAAACTTAAAACACTATGAAAGCGATATTTTATTAAACAAGCATTACTACCTACTATAGTTATTTCATTGGAGCGAAGCGATTAACTTCTGTGTATCTTTTAAACTTTATCATGCATGTGACCACTGAGTTGTTTAATTATCGATTTTCGCACTGGGAGATTCGACGTTTAAAATAATATTTTAGTTTTTGAAACCAGGTAGACATCTAAAGATCAAATTTTTGTTTGTGTTAGTTCCTAATTTGCACCACAGAAATCCTCACTGTCCTCAATTAACTAACGGCATTGAGATTTAGCCAACAACAAATTAAAAAGTCTAAGACAGGTTTTAAGTGATAGTGAAAGCTTAGCATAAATTCATAACTTCATATTCGATCATGTTCGCACTATGTTTTTTCGTAACTTCACCAATAAAAGAGCTAGTTATTCTGTGGGTCACGCGTATTATTCAAATAATGATTGTAATATAGGACTGTTCAATCAGTGTGTTGAGTTTTCAGTGGTTAGTCAGCTAGAAAAATACCTTCATAAACTAACATACGGAGTGATAAATTATCATTTTGAAGGAAATCACTTGTTTTACCATTATGGTTTTGCATCCATAATTGTCTAGTTTGTTCACAATTTCAGATATAATGGGAATTCTTTATTGTATTGTCTAGTTTCATCCATCTGACACAGATATCCTCCTAAACCAATGTACAAACAAATTGTTCATGATATATTGGTTTAATATACCACACTATTCTATAAACAAACTCTCAGTGCATTATCTGGAGATGATCGAATCATGAAAATATGTCCTTTGTAAATATGATATTCGTCACAGATTGACTTCATTTTTATACCTTAATATAGGACTGCAGTAGTGTGAATCAATAATCCTTCCAGAGATTTAGTGGCTAAACACTTACTCAGTAACCTAAAGGTCTTGAATTTGATCCCTTAGACTGGTTTTAGGTGCAGTTCAACAGTAGCACGAAACATTTTTCCAGTCCCCCTTGATTCCTAATAGTACATATATGTGATGGTTACCACCTTAACGTTATCACTAAAAAACTTATCCTAAACTATTCCGTTTGTCGTGGCTTACCAGCTAACCTCATGTGGTCCCCAATGTAACTAAACCCATATCGTACATGCTCTACTATAGGCGCTCTTTTAAAGGTCATTTTTATTTGTCCGTAGTGACATCTTGAAGTTTTAATGGGAGTTTGTAATCAAACAGCTTAACGTAGTTAGTGGCAATTCTGATGAACTATCACGCTAAACGATAATCGCACCGTGTCATAAATTGACTGAATTTGAAAAATGAAAATCATTGAATCCTAACTCATTGGCTAAATGACATCATAGTTGCTACGATTTTTTGGTTGGATATGTAGAACACGACAATAAACAGAATAATTATTTGTTAAGAGAAATTATAAAGGGTTTACGTATGCACAGCCTTCTATCATCCATTTTCATTTCGCGGTGAGTTCTGCCATACAAACTATCTTGTCGTCTGGTCATCAAATGTTGTACATACTCTGTGCTTCCGATGCACTAGAATTATTCACTCCGTCTGACTGTGACAACTTCAAGATCACGTTCTGCAACACTACTTACAAGCAATCTGGTGAGTACCGTCCACTACAGATGTCCTATGGCATCATAATGCTCATTCAGAGTTCTCACTGAAATGGAACAGTTTTTCAATGGTTATTAGTTCTCCAACTAATGAAAGTTCGTGATGAAAACTATCTTTTAAATGGCAGATTACGGTTGGTTTTTATAATAAAGTCACGTGGAGGTTATGATAAATGAAAAATCCGAACGCACTTTAGTCAAAGGCTTTGAGATGAAAATTAGATTTTTAAAGTTGGTGCAAATGTTACTGTGTAATCAATTCATAAAAAGGTTTGCTATAATATAGCAAGTAAACGATGTTTATTAGGTCTAAGTAATAAATTAACGCAATATTTTCTGAAAATTCTGACGACGCACATACAAAAAGTAATGTTTTGTAAAATATTTAAGAATAAATGTTTTTCAGTAGTAAATTGTAGTCGGTAAGAATTACTTACATAATTATTTTTTCACTGATTAGGTTGATAATTGTTGATATCTGCGTTCAGCAGCGAATGACGTCATTTTTTCCTTTTTTACTTATGTAGGTGAACGTCAGCGATCTTGGTTTGGTCACGCCGAGTGGTAAAGTTGTCTGGGGTAAATATGCTCAAGTAACCAATAATCCTGAAAACGAAGGTTGTGTAAATGCAGTTCTTATTGTATAGACAGAAACTAATTTATTCTAAAGTCTTTTGTTCAGTATCTAATAGTTCTACAGCTTGTATATCTGGTTTTCAATTCGTTGCAACGTTAAAGATTTTAAACTAAATTTCCTCCTTAATTTTTTCAGGTAATAGGTATAATTTGGCACAACTGGTCCTGTTTAACTATCTCAAACAGACTGAGTTTCGTCTGTAGTTTCAGTAAATCAGATAGTCAGTAACGACGTATAACCTCCTACGTATTTTTATCCGTTCAAGCTGTCATACCCCGTTAGGATAGAGATCAAATTGTCAGGCCAAATCCCAGAATGGTAGGAAATATTGAGAATCGAAGATACGGTTCAAGAAAATGTAAGTTGCTGAAAAATTCCCATTATATTAAGAACACAATTGTATGAACGAAGAATATTCTTTTCAATAATTTCTCATCAGGTTCTACAATTATCTCATATCCAAATTAATAATCCATAAAATTGGCCAGATTTAAGGCAAAATACATCATTTGGAAATTGTAATATATGAATCAGGAATTATTTGTTATATTAAATAAAATCGTTAATGTTGGGGTTGACTAATATGAAGTGTTAACTTGAATCAGTTTATAAGCGAAATGAAGTTGTGAGATAAATTGTCAGGATAAATATGGTCAACATGGGGTAAGAGAGAGAGAGAGAGAATATTGTGATTACAAATCGGAAATTGCGTAATATGTAAAATAATTAGGTCAAATATAGTAGATTCAGGGGTGGATATTGAATAAGTTCCTCAAAAAGGGGTTATCAAGTGTAAAGGCAATAATAGTAATAATAATAATAAGTTTGGGACATAAAATAAACACTAATCAGATTACGTCACCACATTATAAGATTGATTATTAGCTAGTTGGCCAGGGTAATAGGAGTGGCTGAACGTACTTCTTTTGGATACAAAGCTCTGGCTTTTTGATCCGAATAGCAATTGCTTCAGCCGTCTGTAGGATTCGCAGTCTGACGGAATTAGGTAGACTGCTGTTGACACGATAGACTATTGCAAAAGATTGCTCCATGTTTGAACTAAATGGTCTAAGATGGAGCTGTTAACAGTTTTGACAACACCTTTGCTTAACCACACGGGTAGGTGCTCACGAGCCCGAATGTACAAATTCCTAGAACATCTGCCAATATAACTTGCTCCACAGGAGCAGTTGGATTGATAGATACAGAAGGAGGTGGCTAATCTAGGTAATTTATCTTTCAACCTCGGAGTGATTATTGGTCGTGTGAAGAATACTAGTTGTAGTTTAGCTGCGTTAAAAGTCCTTTGAATTGATCTATTTAACTTAAGTTTTAACATTTCACTCGACGCGTCGCCTCTGAATTGTAAGCGTATATATAGAGGCTTTTTATTTACCGTTGGGCATTCTCTACGCTGTCTTTTATTGGCTAAGTTTTTATTTATAAATTTCTCTGGATATCCGTTTTCTTTCAGGGTTTTAAACAATGTCTTTGTTTCATCTTCACTCGTATCCATAGTGCATATAGTCTTGATTCTATGATGTAGTGTCTTGATAAGGTTCCTTTTTTGTTGTAGAGGAATGAAACTGAAAAAGTTAGTATATTGACCCGTCCAGGTTATTTTCCTGTTAATGTTTCTTTTTAGTGATCCATCTTTTCTCCTTGTAAGCAGAACATCTAGGAAGGCTATTTTACCCCCATTTTCTTTCTCACATGTGAATTTTATGGACGGGTGAGCTGTATTGAATTGCTCGAGTGTTCTTATCATGTCCGTATGCTCGTTACAAAGGATAAATGTATCATCCATATATCGACAGTAGAACAGAAACTTATCGATCTCTTGTGCCAGTGGGCCGTTTTCTAGTTTAGAAAGGAAAATGTCTGCCAATGTGGGACCCAGGGGTGAACCCATCGCGACACCATCTATTTGTCTGTAGATTTCACCATTGAATTTGAAATGTACATTCATAGTGCATTTTAGTAATAATTCTTTGATGATCTCCACAGGGATTGTCGTTTCCAGTTCCTGTTCTCTAAGTTGTTCACAAATATATTCTACAGTTTCTCTGAGTGGGACATTTGTGAACAGTGATGCTACGTCAAAGGAAAATGAGAGGACGAAAAGCGAATGGTGGTTTCAAAACACTTACTAGCCACTTTGTAAAGTATGAAACAACTCTATAATCGCCTGGTGAAACATAGTATTAAGGATGTATTCCAATTCGTTGACAGGATTAAAAACATAAACACGAAAGATCAGACGATGATTTCCATAAAATTCACATGTGAGAAAGAAAATGGGGGTAAAATAGCCTTCCTAGATGTTCTGCTTACAAGGAGAAAAGATGGATCACTAAAAAGAAACATTAACAGGAAAATAACCTGGACGGGTCAATATACTAACTTTTTCAGTTTCATTCCTCTACAACAAAAAAGGAACCTTATCAAGACACTACATCATAGAATCAAGACTATATGCACTATGGATACGAGTGAAGATGAAACAAAGACATTGTTTAAAACCCTGAAAGAAAACGGATATCCAGAGAAATTTATAAATAAAAACTTAGCCAATAAAAGACAGCGTAGAGAATGCCCAACGGTAAATAAAAAGCCTCTATATATACGCTTACAATTCAGAGGCGACGCGTCGAGTGAAATGTTAAAACTTAAGTTAAATAGATCAATTCAAAGGACTTTTAACGCAGCTAAACTACAACTAGTATTCTTCACACGACCAATAATCACTCCGAGGTTGAAAGATAAATTACCTAGATTAGCCACCTCCTTCTGTATCTATCAATCCAACTGCTCCTGTGGAGCAAGTTATATTGGCAGATGTTCTAGGAATTTGTACATTCGGGCTCGTGAGCACCTACCCGTGTGGTTAAGCAAAGGTGTTGTCAAAACTGTTAACAGCTCCATCTTAGACCATTTAGTTCAAACATGGAGCAATCTTTTGCAATAGTCTATCGTGTCAACAGCAGTCTACCTAATTCCGTCAGACTGCGAATCCTACAGACGGCTGAAGCAATTGCTATTCGGATCAAAAAGCCAGAGCTTTGTATCCAAAAGAAGTACGTTCAGCCACTCCTATTACCCTGGCCAACTAGCTAATAATCAATCTTATAATGTGGTGACGTAATCTGATTAGTGTTTATTTTATGTCCCAAACTTATTATTATTATTACTATTATTGCCTTTACACTTGATAACCCCTTTTTGAGGAACTTATTCAATATCCACCCCTGAATCTACTATATTTGACCTAATTATTTTACATATTACGCAATTTCCGATTTGTAATCACAATATTCTCTCTCTCTCTCTCTTACCCCATGTTGACCATATTTATCCTGACAATTTATCTCACAACTTCATTTCGCTTATAAACTGATTCAAGTTAACACTTCATATTAGTCAACCCCAACATTAACGATTTTATTTAATATAACAAATAATTCCTGATTCATATATTACAATTTCCAAATGATGTATTTTGCCTTAAATCTGGCCAATTTTATGGATTATTAATTTGGATATGAGATAATTGTAGAACCTGATGAGAAATTATTGAAAAGAATATTCTTCGTTCATACAATTGTGTTTTTAAAATGTAAGTTAGTGAAATAAAGGTTATGAAAAATCTGGATTCTCAGGATCCGGGTGATAACAATAATTCGATGTACTTGTGCCACTGTCATTCACAGTCCTTTATCTTACGTTATGATGATCACGCCGACCCGACTAGGTAGTTTACTTCCATTCATATGGTTAAGTCTAATTGTCAGTAACTTCATGAGCAGGTGCCATGTTTTGGTTTGACCACCCCTATCTTTATTCCAAACTGCACCTGAAATTACCGTTTGTCGAAGTAATAAGTGTCTGTACATACGTAACACAAGTACCTCACTCCGTGGTCCCGAAACACACGCGATATGCTTTGTAGACACCTATGATCGGGTACTAGTAGCCTACAAATATCCTCCAATTTTAGTGTCAGTCAACTACAACGTAGGCCCAGACACAAATGCATCTGTCCAAGTGGACACATCTCATTAGCACAATAAGAAGATGGAGATCATCACCCGAAAATTCAGTCGACGCGAACGTTATTTCCAGCAGTAGACCTATGATTAAATTCAACGAAAATCTAGATAGTGGACATACTTGGCAGACCCCACTTGAGGTTGCAAAATCAGATGACAGTCCATCCTTTACAGGTTCCTCAAGAAATACCCTTCCATGGTGTGGGCAGCAGGGAAGTGACATCATCCCTCATACTCGTAACAGCACACGAGACTAAGTCGGTCACATTCAAATTGTAAATCACTAGCGTAGATTATCTATGTCGAATGATTGGGGGCCTACTCGAGATAGACGGGAATGGTGTGACGAACTAGCTAATGTCGAAGTCACGCCTCGCGGTCAGCACCTTACGTGGATTGCCCCATCGTCGTATCGAAGTACTATAGATGCTTTGAAGACTATATAACACAAAGGACGTTAAAACAGAGATATATTAGTTAAAGTACATACAAGCGAAAGTAAGACCACCCCCGCATAGATCAGTTCATGGAGTACCAATAACTGATTCGCGTTGGTCTTCCTTGACACGAATCGATGATCCGTTCGATATTCAGTGACCTAACTGCCGGATGATTTGGCTAGGGCCTAGTGATATTTCACTGGCCCTACAAAATTCTTCCTACAATTCCCAATAACTCCATGACTAAACCTTCTCACGTTCCTTTATCGCCTCGCATCGCTAGGGCAAACGATTCGGGTACGCAGAACGTTATTCCTGGTCTCCTGAAACGACGCTCTAAACTACATGTAGAGCTTTTAACGTCCAAACACTGTGCCGAAACGCACACACAGGATCCGAGTAGATTCATCCATTTGACCTCACTATATCAAAATAAAGAACCACCTCGATTCACACTTCGTGTATCTGGAAGCCCTGATGCTGCCTCCTGTGGCCTCGCTGGCGTAGGTATAGCATTGAGTCCTAGGGCAGAACTAGCTCTCTTAGAGTGGATCCCAGTAGACAGTCGTCTGTGTGCTGTCCGACTAAATGGAACAGTAAGGATCCAAAAAGATTGGGATACTCGTCGTTGCTTCTTCGTCGTCCCTGCCTACTCTTCCACTGATTACAACTCAGATGATGTAAAAGATGAGTTTTACAGAAAGCTTTCTGAACTCCGAAAACCTAGGTGCTCTGATGTAATGATAATGCTCAATTAGGTGAACTGAGCGAAAAGGAAAGACATCTGGGTGGATCTTATGTTGTCGTGGCTCAAAGAACAGATAATGGCGAGCGTCTGCTGCAGCTATGCTCAGAAAATCGCCTCTTTCTTGCAAATACTAACTTTAAGCATAAGGAAAAACATATTTTAACATGGCGACCCCCCAATTCGTCCCAACGTTGGACTCAAATAGATCATATCGCTATCAGCCACCGTTGGAGGTGCTCCATA